AAATATTACTCATATAACTAATATGTTTGATGGCCCTTTGAGAGTGAACTTCTATATACTCTTGTTATGAATCTTCAGCATTTTTGACACTAGAATGTGGCTCTATAAATAACACTTTTTGGAAAGAAGAGGACATTCAGAATTCTAGGGGTTAAAGCTGGCACTGCATATTCAGAAATCTCTTTTTCAAAGTCAAATATTTCTACTTTTAAATTAAGTATTTTTCAAATGATAGGTTTTGCTTTTTATGGTTAAATATGACCAAAGAATAATTGTTTTGAGTCAAGAAAAAGTTTAAATTAATTGAATAATGATACTTTTCTCATAGATTTATATAATAACCTACATAATCCATGCATCTATAGGTATAATAAATATTGTCTCAAGAAAATTTCCAGCTAACTGAGCCTTTTTATTCTCTTAAATATATGTATATATATTTTTCTATTTTGTGCAGATATAGAGATAGATAAATGACTGATAAATAATAGATAGATATATAACTTTGCAGGCCAGAAGGGATTGGCATGAAATATTCAAAGTAATGAAAAGCAAGAACCTACAACCAACATTACTTTACCCAGCAAAGCTATCTAGAATTGGACAGATTAAGAACTTCCCAGACAAGATAAAGCTTAAGGAGTTCATTATCACCAAACCACTATTACCAGAAATGTTAAAGGGTCTTCTTCAAGAAGAAGAATGATGAGGAGGAGGAGAGAGAAAAAATATGAATAATAAAAGGCAATTAATACATATCTATCATTCATCCACATGTTCATTGCAACATTATTTACAATAGCCAAGATATGGAAACAATCTAAGTGTCCCTATTTGTGTACATTGAAAATAAGGATTAAATATTGTTTTTCATTGTCACCATAAATATCTCAACTTAATTTTTTATGTAATAGTAATTCTGCCCAATTCACTCGAATACTGTTTTGAAAATGTGCTGTCCTGTTTTGAAAGGTTCTTTACCTTTGTGTATGTGATTGTTGCCTTAGTGTATACTTTGGTTTCTTGGTACAGGCTTCTCCTCCCTCTGGTGATGCCAGCTCCTCTATACAGCATCACATCCCCATATTTTTCCATAGATGCTCTGATTACTTGCAATTTTATCAAGAGGCCTTTTTCTAACTACACTTTGTAAGGCGATTGTCATGTTATTGTTATCCACATTAGTTTCAGTAATGCCATCTACCAATTATGTAATGTTCAAAGATTGTCACTTGAAATACCAAAAAATAAAATCCTAGGATTATGTGGAAACATTTCAGAATCTCAATTTTTAAACTAGATTTTGATAAAATCATAAAATTTTCCTACTCCTAGGAAAAAAATGTGACTATTTGCCCATGCATTCAATCCTACTATCTACCAGGAAGCTAAACATTGGGATTTGAGGATCCATGAGTAAAGTTAAAGGAGATTAGAAAATAATGACTGTGCAATGCGATAGAGATGTATACTGAAAGTACAGAAATACAAAAAGAAAAGGAGGCCCAGCTGGTGTGGCTCAGTGGCTGAGTGTCGACCTATGATCCAGGAGGTCACAGTTCAATTCCTAGTCACAGCACAAGCTTGGGTTGCAGGCTTGATCCCCTGTAGGGGGCGTGCAGAAGGCAGTCGATCAATGATTCTCTGTCATCATTGATGTTTCTATCTCTCCCTCTCACCTTCCTCTCTGAAATTAATTTTTTTTTAAAAGAAGCTGAAATAGGTAACTCTGTCTAGAAAAGTCAAGAAAGGTTTCAAAGCAAAAATAATATTTGAGCCAAGACTTTAAAAGTGTATAAGTGATTGTGGAAAAACCTTAACTTAAGCTCAAACCCCAGGGATGTAAAATGTTATGCTGTGAAATTTTAAAGTAAGTTTTTAAAATATAGAGAAAACTCAGGGGGAAAAAAGGTGGAATTTGAATATATCAAAATCTAGACAAACACAACATATCAATCACAAATTTTTATGCTCATCACTTATAAAAGAACTGATTATTCCTTCAAACCTTGAATCCATTGACATTTTTGCTAACATAAATAGCACATTTTGTTATTGTTACTGTCTGACAAAGAAGAGAATAACATTAATATGTCGTAACTCTCTAGTTTTATTAAAAATGAGATTAGTGATGGGTAAAATTGCTTAATTACTGGCATTGAATATAAAATGTTTTTCCACTCTATTGAGACAGTTATCATTAACTATTCTGCCAGTCTTTCATCACATATTTTTTTTCTATTGGCTATACTTCTAGGAGTCAAAATAATAGTGAGTCACCATTTAAAAAAAAAAGTCTGTCCTTCTCTTTCCTTGTTCATTATACTAGAATGAGTTTGCAATTTTGGGAGGTAGAAATGTACAAAGTCTTTTTCTACAATGATAATAACAATGACAAGATGGGTAGGCAGAATGTGAATTCTTTCCTATATGTCGAAATCTCCTTAGAAGAAGTGTATAGTTTTTGTAATGTGCTTGGCTAATACATGAGCTGATATCAGATGGGTATGAGCTATGCGAACATCATGCTATTGTTTTGCAATTGTGCCACATTTTCTCCTTTAGGTTCCAAAATTAGAGTACATATTACACCTGTTTTTCTTTAATTTAATGGATGAATGGGATAAATAAACCAAGTTTAACTGTTATTTAGTGACTTACCCAGGAGTTGGACATACATAGTGGAGGAGGGAGTTAGTACTAACCCCCCATTTCTAACTCCTGGTTAGTTTACCTGTGACAAAAAATGGCATTTTGTCTCTTGCAGCCTTGTCTACATTTGAATTTAATTTAAGGAAGCAATTTCATGAATTATTTTGGGTGAATTTATATGGTGTTCTGGTCAGAATTCTTTATTATATTTTATTTGATTAATTTTATTTCTTCCTGAGCATTAAAATGTTTCATCCTTTTACCTAATCCTATACTCTAGAGATACCTGCAATTGGAAAGAATGAAAGTCGGATTTAAAATCCAAACAAAATAGTTGCAAAATGATGGAAACAAAATCTTGCAGTATTTTTAAGAGAGACTTTATTTAAGTTACATTAACCAGGGGGCAGTAAAATTGATGCATTGAAACAAATATATCAAATTTATGTAGCAATTACAGTTCTATTTAGCAATAGCACATAAGTGCTGAAGTAGAGACTTATAACTCTAAACTTGTACTGTATATGTGTCATCTCTTACAAGAAAATATATCTAAAGATGATAGGATGGAGTGTTTTTACTCAAGTAAATATATCTATATATATATAAAAGTCTAAGCAACCTAACAACCAGACAACTGGTCACTGTGACGCACACTGACCACCAGGGGGCAGATGCTCAATGCAGGAGTTGCCCCCTGGTGGTCAGTGTGCTCCCACAGCAGGAGCTCCACTCAGCTGACCAAAGGGCACCAGACACAGGGCCCATGGCTGGCGAGCATTGCTGCAGCAGCATGAGCCTGTGGCAGGCACGATAGGGCTGAGATGAGCAGGAGTGGCAGGCAAGAGTGGCAGACAGCATTGAACTGCCTATTTCAGCCCAATCCCCGAAGGTACATGCCAAGGGACCCCACCGGTGCACTTTCTGTAAATGTCTGACTGCTGCCCGGTTAATCATAACTTTAACTCTTATACCAAATACTCTGGGGAGGGAGGGAGAGCCACCCACACAAGTCCACTAGCAAAAACAAAAACAAGCAAACAAAAAACAACCCATAAGTCAAGATCTCATGAACTGATTTTAAACTTATTCTTGGTTTAAAGGATACTAATCTGATAGCTTAAAACTATTCAACTCCATGTAAAACATAAACAAAACTTTAGTGTTCCTATCTGAGTAGTAGTAATCCACCTTTGCTCACTTGATTATTCCCTATTGAGTCAAATTTTTCAAAATCAGTATTTGTTAGTCATGTAGATGTCAAGATAAAAGTAAACTCCCAACTTCAAAGGACTTAATATACATGTGTTCCTGGAGAGTCTTCTGTCCTAAGATTTTTAGCAGTATGTCAACTGCTTCATCATATCAATCAATCAACAGTTATATACTTGTGTCAGACCACATTCTGTAGGAACAGCAGGACTGGATCAACAAAATTAACAGGACCTTTAAGCTTCCAGTTCAGCCAGGGTCATCTGTGCTAACCAAAATCAAAAGTATGCCTATGTGTAAAGAGAGAGAGATACACACTAGCACAATGTGGTCTGTTTATCCTGCTTATATTTAATGGTTACATTCTTCAATTGAACTCCGATGTGTCATCTAACTAGATGGCCAACTTGAAATCCAGATGTCTTTCTGTAACATGAAAAGTTGGCTTATAAACAACAAAATATATTTATTTTTCAACAAGAATTTGCATTTTCTTTTTGAGGTGTATATTTCTCATATTGGGGACAAGATGCTTCATTAGTATTTTTTTTTCCCTACTATGGGCGGCTCTCAAAGGATCTATGTCCTAATCCCCAGAACTTGTGGAAATGTTAAATTACATGACAAAGAATAGTTAAGATTTCACGTGTAATTAGGGCTGCTATCAGTTGACTTTTTGACAGGGAGATAATCCTGGATTATTCAAATTATTACAACGTCCTTAAAGTGGAAAGGGGGCGGGGGCAGTTCAGAGGAGAGAAACAGAGAGATGGCAGTGTAAGAAACTCTCAGCTTTATAGAGAAGGGGGCCATAAACCAAGGAAAATGGGTACCCTCTTGAATTGCAAAAGGATTCTCCCCTAGAGCTACAGAAAGGAATGCATACCTTCTGACATCTGCCAGTACCCAGTGAGACCCATTTAGGGCTTCTGACCTGCAGAACTGTAAGATACTGAGTTTGTGTAATTTTAAGCCACTAAGTTTGTGGTAATTTGTCACAGCAGTCAAGCAAACTAATTTTTTTCAGATGCCTCTATCACTGAAATTGCATTAATAAAAAAAGTTAAAATTTTCAGACTTTTCTTAAGGTATGTTTATGCATCCATTCACCCATTCATCCATTCATTCATTTTCAGGAGGTAATCCGCAGCAGTCAGCTTGACACTTCAAGAAGCAGCCAGGAAATGGGAAGAAATGAACAGGAAGCTTCCAAAGCACACAAAATGGATGTTCTTGGAACAGAAACGGTAACTACTTAGAAAGACATCACTTTCCAAACAGTTTTCAGAACTGTGTGGAACTTTTTACCTTGCTGTAAGCAATTGCTTTACTTGTCCTTTACGTATTTAATATCAATTCACATCGGTGTTTCCTTTCCCATTTTGGAGTTGACAATCTTTGAAAAAATGAAACAAGCACCCTAAATATATGAGTGCATTTTATGTGCCAATCCATATACGTTCTGTTATAGCATGAGACCATGCATTAAAATATGAGGTAAAAGCATTTAACATCTCTCAATGTGCACAAAAGTCTTGGATGAAAATCACTGTGAAATAATAAATACATGTGCAGTACTGAAATCATTGACTTCTTTAAAATAATTATTTATTTAAAATTTGCTTTAAACACAGGTCTCTCATCTTGAAAAGCACACTGAGGAAATAAACCAAGCTTCCCAGTTACATCAATATGTTCAAGAAACAGGTCAGAGTCTGGTATTATTTGACCCAAATATTCCTTTCTTCTATTCATATGTCTGTGTTTGAATGGAGGACTTCCAAAGCACAATCCTCTCACTATGCCAAGTTGATAACTGTGACTCATCATCCCAAAGGGAACAGGGTAGTATTTCTGTGTATAATTACATTCTACCTATGGTGATAGATGCAATAAGCTTCTAAAATAGTTCATTGCTCATCAACCTATGATGTATTCCTCCTAAAAGCCAGGTGATAAGCTAACCACCTCTGAATTGCTTTTTTGCCTCAGGGAACTACAATAAAACTTGATGTTCATCAAGTTCCTTGAGAACAGCTATGTTATCTAGATTATATTACTTTTAATAACAGATTTAAGCATGTTTAAGGCCACTTCTCCAACCTACAGATATGAGATTAAACTAAAGACAAATCTGTGCAAGTTTGCATAAAATGTGTACTGTTTTTCTTGCCTATATAAGAGGAATGAGAAGTTTTGTTGTCCTGAAGAGCTAAAAGGGAAAATTTAAGCCAACTGTTACTGAAATGTTACTTGACTATATCTGTATTTTGGTTTTTCTTAAGGAAGTCGGTCTTCCTTTTGTGTTCTTCTCCTGCTCTTTTCTTGGTTTATAACTTTTACATTTTTTTCTTGAACATAAAAGTAAAACATGCTTGCAGAAAATTTAGAAAAAAAAAAAAT